GCTATGCTATGCTATGCTATGCTATGCTATGCTATGCTATGCTATGCTATGCTATGCTATGCTATGCTATGCTATGCTATGCTATGCTATGCTATGCTATGCTATGCTATGCTATGCTATGCTATACTATACTATGCTAGTTCTAACCTAACCCGAACACAGAACTCATGTGAATATTCCATGTACGGGAGTTGACTGACAGTACGCTCCAATCTCGCGTCTCGTTGAAGAGGCTTAGGAATATGAAAGACAATTGAACATACCTGGTAGGCGACAGGCAACACCACCTGCTGGAAGGCAGCGACATATTCCGCATCGCCCATCCCTCTCTACGGACGAACAATAAAAATGCTCAAAATTAAAACTTGGCGCACACAATCATCAGATTTTGACATGATGATCACAAACGAAATAATTATACGCTGTTCTCTAGTTCTGTGGGATCTGGAAAACTTCGATATACATTTAGAACAACCAAAATTCAGTAGTATCGTGGCATATAGTAGTACATAAACATACGTTTAGTAAACAACCGCAAATTACCAACACTGAAACATTACTATACAACTAATATATATAGTCTGCAACCTCCTTTAATTAAATTCTTTAACGAGTGTTGTGCGATAAAAGTCTTTTGACTGCTGATCCTTAATAATATATCCATGTATGACTAGAACATGTAGGAATATAAATATAACACATAACAGAAAGTCTTTTGACCACTGAACCTTACAAAGTATGAATATAACATGTAGGTATCGTCATCCGACGTTTGCGCTCACTCACCGCATTCCAGGCTATGTTGATGTTGAATCCTGTCCCGTCGCCGCGACCCAGCCTGTCGAAGTTCGCATCCTCCTCCCCCGGGAAGAAGGAGCCATCGTCATAGCGATGCAGCGAGATGAACAGCACGCTAGAAACAAGCGAACGGTTACCTACGGCAATGGCAGTGATGGTCGCTCATGCGAATGAAGTCGAGCGAGTTGATTTCAGATGTGCTGCCATTTTAGATCGTGTCATTCGAAGATCTGTCGTTTACCTTGAATCATCGTAAAACATGTGCTGTGTGCCGTTGCCATGGTGAACATCCCAGTCAACGATGAGAACTCTATCAATGAAACAACAGAGCATCAGTAATCTATCACTAAGAGTTTATACATATAAAGTGTACAAATAAAATATACACATATATATATATACACACACAATATTATAACATAAACAATACACAATATGTTTCACATTCGTATGTTCATTGCAATATCATTTCAGGATTCCACGGCAGCCATCACTCGTGGGGGTCAGAACAACGTGACCTCACTGCCGATCGTGACTCGCCACTGTGACCCCACAGCGACCTCACTGCCCGTGACTCACCGTTTCAGGCCGTGCTTTCTCTTCGCGTACTCGGCGGCGATGGCGACATTGTTGAAGAAGCAGAAGCCGCAGGCGGCGTCCTCCTCGGCGTGGTGGCCCGGAGGTCGCACGATCGCGACCCCGGACTGCGCCTGCGCATGTTTATATATTGTATTATCACATCTATCTATCTGTCTGTCTCTCTCTCTCTCTCTCGCTCTCGCTCTCTCTCTCTCTCTC